CTCTGCAGCCCATGTTCCTCTCCCGCACCAGGCTCCGTGACCCTATCACCCCCATTCTCGCCCGACTCCACTGGCTTCCCATCACACAGAGGATACAGTTCAAGATCCTGGTCCTCAACTTCAAAGCCCTCCAGAGCCTTGATCCCTCCTATCTCTGCAACCTAACTGCCTACCAACCGGACTCTGGACTACTACACATCTCACCTCACCCACCCCATCATTGGCGGGCAGACCTTCAGCCACTCTGCCCCATCCTCTGGAACTCCATCCCGCATTCCCTCTGCCCCGCCTCCTCCCTTGCCTCCCCTTCGACCGTACCTTCAGTCACCCTCCTTCCCCCCCCTGCCCTCTACCCTCCCCGATCCCCAGCTCCAGTCCAAAACACCGATTGTCCAGCGCCTTGGGACGTCCTCCCGACGTGAAAGACGCTATACAAATGTAATTTGGTTGTTGTTGCGGTTTGGCTTGCATTCTCTTTCCCTTTTTCAAATATTTATGCTGCCTTGGTAATAGACTCAGCAACAAGTGGAAACAATTTATGTCCACCTTACTGAACCAATTCATAATTTTACAATACAATTTAAATTTATAGCCCCTTTATATCAGGAGGACTTCCCAAAGCAAATAAACAGCTCTCCATCATTTCCTCTCCAGGGTAAAGTATCCTCTCATCCCAATAACATTTTCGTAAATCTATGCTGCACCATCTCCATTACCGCCATATCCTTATTACGCTATGGGCTTGAAGATTCAAAACGGCTTCAGGAAGAGAGAAAATTGTCGAGAGAAAAATAAATAGAAAATAATCTCAGTATCCGACATTCACTGAGGCATGTCGAATCGAATCAGAAATCTGTTCACAAAATAAATGCTCGTTTGAGATCCAGCAACAGCTATCCTTTGGCCTCACTGGTATACAGACATGAAAGGATTGTTCGGAGGGGGCAATTCATTATTGAAGCAACCAAAATTCCTACCAAAATGATATATTTGCTAAGCAAGAATTGTGAGTATTGCGTGTGGCGGTTTGACAAGAGCTGTGGAGAATTGGCTGCGCTTGGGACGCAGGATGGTCTGCACACAATGCTGCAAAGCTGACTCAGTTTGATGTCTTTATTTTCCGCCCCCTTCTGCTCCCGCCCCGCGCCCCCCGAAAAAAGAACACACACAAGTGAAAAGTGAAGCAAACTCCAGCTGAGGAATACAAACGGGGTTTTGGTATTTCGGGCGCAGCAGCTGTGATGGATCCAGTGAGAAAGTCTTCAATATTCATGGGCTGATACAGGCAAATGCTGTAACTCGCAAATTACTTGCTGCAAATTGATTTCAGTGTGAAACAAGGATAAATGGAAACTTTAATGGGAATTAAATTTTAAAATATGAGTTAGGCTAAGCTTTTCCATCTATGGAACTGATGGAATTGGAAGTGTGCCCTCTCTGCTCAGAAATCATTACGTGTGCAAGATATATTCTTATAAAACAAAAGCATAATGAATTCACACACCACCCCACCGCGCCCCCCACCCCCCCCCCCCCCGCCCCATCCCCAATGGCATTTTACTTTACAATAACACATCAATAAATGTGCGAGTGTGCTCGAAAATATGGCACTCAAACCTGCAAGGTTTCTGTGAAACATCACACGCCATTAGACATTTAGCCAATCCCTACTTTGGAGCGAAATAGACATTTGGATATTAAAATGTAACCTATTTTAATAATAAATGGTAATAATAAATAAATAGTAAATGTAATAATAAATAATAATAATAATTGTTGCATTTAATGTAGCGCATTTAATATCAGGAGTATGTCTGAAAGAGCTTTCATAGGTTTTTTTTTTACTGTAAATAGTGAATATTTTGTACCTGAATCCAGCAGCCAATTTGCACAGAGGTGTCCCACAAAGTGGAAGTGAACGATCAATTTTTAACAATACAGATTTACGTTCATATAATGCCATTCACATCAGGAGGGCGTCGCAAGGAGCTTGACAGCCAGGACACCGGGTGAAACTCGCTTCTCTTTTTGAATAGCGCCACGGCATCTTCAAAATCCCCCTGAACAGGCAGACACAACCTCAGTTTAACGTCTCATCCAAAGGACGTTGCCTCCAACGATACAGGGGCACCCTTAACAATGTATTTGAGGAACAAACGTGGACTGAGGTTTCAAAGTCCTGCTGGAGGGCTTGAACCCACACCCCGACGTAAGAGGGGAGAGTGCTTCCGACCGAGCCCGGCTGACACAGATGGGCAGAACTTTAGTTCTGCTTCCTAAGCACGAAATCTCATCCCTAAAATTTTTGCTGTTGCTGTGAGAGATTCCTGCGTTTGGCTAATTAGCAGTCGACAAATTGAAGTGAGGGAAGAAGACAACTAACTGTTCAGTGAAGAAGTTGATCGATTGTGAAGAGAGATGTTGTGTTCAATTGCTGCTCGTGAGGATGAACCAGATAAACGTTTTTTCTCAGCCCTGCACTTGCCGGTTTCTAAAGAAGGATTTGTATTTTGGTTTACTTGTGCCGAAGCTTCTCAAAGTGCTTCACGAGTAATTTCTGTCAAGTGCAGCAATTGTTTTTTTTGGAGATAAACACGGCATCCATTTATGCCAGGAAAAGTCTCACCAACTGTTGTTAAAGTGAGGCTTATGGTAACAACACTTACCTGGAAATATAATAATAATCCTTGCATTCGATATAGCGCTTTTCACGTCTTCTCGACTGCTCAAAGCTCCTCACAGAATATTCTCTAAAGCGAATTGACCGTATATTTGTGGGCAAAACGCAGCAGCCAATTGCGCACAGCAGTGTCCCACAAACAGTGGTGGATTGAGTGACCAATTTTTATTATTTTTTTTTCTTGGGATATTATTATCAGGCGTGTGGAGTGAGGAAACTTGCCCAAGGTTTCGCCCGGCCGGGAATCGAACCCAGGTCTCTCGCTTGCAAGGCGAGTGCTCTCACCACTGAGCTGCAGCACTCCAAATGATGGTAAATAACAATAATGATCAATTTATCTGGGAGATTGTTGGTCAGGACTCCGGGAGAATCCACCTTCTCTTTTCTAAGAGTGTCATAGCGTCTTCAATATCCATCTAAACAAGCACGAGGGCCCTCCGATTGAAGTCTCTTCTGATAATGCAGCGTTTCTGAGTTCTGCAGGGTAGGGAGTTTTGCTGGATATTAAAACCCTTTCAGGCATGTTGTCTTTGGAGAATATCACAGTAGGTGATTTCCATGTATGTGTGTGTGTGAGAGAGAGAGAGAAGTGGATGCAAATAGACCTAAACACGGCTTGGTGAGGTGTTGGTTGTGTCTGGCACCTGCAGACCAGTACCTAAATCAATACCACTAGAAGGAAAGTTGAGAGGAAATATAAGACTCTCATTATTTTTAAGGTCAGTTTGGTTCAGCTGATGACACACTTTGATATGTTCCCCCCTTCCCTTCAGTCTACAACCAAATGATGTTCACAGCTGTGGCTATGCTCCTGCTGGGTCTGTCTGATCAGTCACCAGGGAGCTCATTCCCTCCAGTTTCAGCCAGGAAGAGGCAGATCATCTCTAATATATTAAGGACGGGTAGGGAGAGAAAAATCAGCATCAGTGTTTGTTAATTGGACTGACAGAGGGAGCCGCCTGGGATTGATATTTGAAGACAAAGTACATTATATTCATAAAAATGCCATTTTCATCATTGGAGAGCATCTGGGTTTAGGGGAGGGAAGCATTTTCTGTGGTCTCATGGCTCATTTGCAACAGAAAGAACTGTTAATGCATCAGTACTGCTCACGGCGTAATTAAACTTCTTGATGTGTTTTTTCCTGTGAATTGACAACTTTCTCGATCTTTGCTATTAGAATCAAACCTTCACTTTGGTTTGTGCTCAGACATTTCACCTCGAGGCTTATCACTTTGTCTGCATTAAAGCCGGCTTCTTAACGTCTACGTAAAGCTGAAAATTGTCCAGCGCTTTCATCTGGAAAAGCTAGTAATCGTCTCAGTGTTGCTTCTCTTTATCATAAAAGTATTGCTTTGCCTCCATTTACATCGCTGACTAATTGCAATGAAACCTCAGAAGAATGCGGATTAGAAAGTCTAATGTGAGCATGTGGTTGCCTGCTGCTCGCGAGACACAGTTGATCTGTCCTGGAGTACATTCTCTGGCAGCGCTGGTTTTAATAATTTCTAGACATTTGATAAATTACCCCGGTAAATTAAAGCCACATGTCCGGGGGCGAGGAAAGTAAAACAATTATAAATCTATTGAACACCCCAAATGAGATTAGCTAACACTCCCGGGATTACGTTTACAACCTCACAGACTACATACATGGCCCAATGCTACATGAGGTGCCTTTAACTGGGCCACTAGGGAGAGCTACACAACAGCAACAACAATTTATGGAGCGACTTTCATGTAGGATAACGAAATGAAGCACTTTACAAATGCAGTTGGGATCACTGAGGGTGTTGGGAGGTGGGAATAATATGTTGACTAAATCACAAGAGAGCACGGGGTTAGTCTGACACAAAATTCGTCACTTGAAAATGTTTAGCCACCGCCCTGGAGTTGGAGCTCGCACCCCAGGAAATCAAAACACAGCAGCTCAAGGGAGACCACAGAAGATGAGTCCTTGACCCTGAGGCACACTGTGGGGAGAAGAGGAAAACAGAATCATTCAGTAAAACTGGAATCACAGCACTGTCCCAGAAGCAGCCATGAGGTGAATGAACAATTTATCTGGAGGTTTGGTGACCAGAAGAAACTCTTCTCTTTTTGAACAGACTCATGGAATCTTTAACGTCCACCTCAACAGTCAGACAGAAATGATTTAACTCATCCAAAGGACCAACAACGCAGTGCTCCTCCAATGCTTTCTTGGAGCATCAGCCTAGACTCCAGGTTCATGCCCCAACACAAGACTTGAACCCACAATCTTCCGACCCACAGGTGAGAATACCGACTCAGCCATTTGAAAAAACGAACCCAACACAGATTGGATACAACTCTGAATCCTGTTGTCTGTAACTGAAGTCCTTTTAGACTCCAATCTGTACAATTCTGTTTTGCCAGTTATTTCAAGAATAAAAATTCAATACAAATCCACAATACATATTCATAGTTAACCGGCTCCTCAACATTTACAAAACGTGGGCGGAAACATTTACACCCAGACATCAGCATTGGCTGTTCCACTGTCCTGTACAGACTGAGAGAGAAACACATGCTTATTAACAGAATATATACAAAATAAGAGGATTACAGTACAATGTACAGTACAGTCTGCATTGATTCTGCATTGATCACAAAATATATCCAGATTTAAACATCAAAGGTTTTTCTTAATGGTATAAGAGAGTCTTTTGTCTCACCCAGTCAGGGTTGTACTCACACGTCAGCACCTCTGCAAAATATTAATGCCTAAAGTGGGGACCACACCCAATAAGTGACGATTAAAACTGAAACGTAATATAGATAGAGCAATTATATAAAATCCACAGGAATCCAATAGCAGAAATCTGCTTTTACAGCTTACAGCAAAACAAGGCATTAATAATATTTCCAGTGATTGGAGCGATTGGTCAGTGATTGGAGACAATCAATTTAAGATCGTTAACAAAAGGAGACTCGGAAAATGCGTTTTTACACGGAGTTGTGAGGGTGTGGAATGCCCTGCTGGGTGCAATGATCGAGGCACAATCCATAGCAGCTTCCAAGAGGGAACTCAATAGACATCTAAAAATAAATAATTTACGTGAATGGGAATGTAATGCTTTTTCAAAGAGTCAGCACAATATGATGGGCTTCTCACCTTTTGTGTTGTAAATTTCTAGGCTTCTATGGAGTTAATTGAACTTGTTACCTAAGATGAGACATCATGCTGTCATTTGGAGATTTATTCTTTTTGTACAAACGAACAGATGTAAGCCCTGGTTCAAGTCCATTAATTGGAATGCAGAACATGGTGGTGGGGGGGGGGGGGGGAATAGAGGGAAAATGTGGGAAAGATCAGGAGACTGCTTTATCTTAAGAAACAAATAAGCAGCAAGCGACGTACTGCATTTTCCCCAGAGGGTCAGTGACAAGAGGTTGTGACCTTAAAATCAGGGCAAAATAGGTCAGAACCAAGACGAGGGAGACTTGTTTCTCACAGGGGTGGGGGGGGGGGATACAAATGTGGAACGTATGGCCCCAGGAAGCCAGAGATGAGGAATGGAAAGATGGAATTTAAATCTGAAGCCATTCTCATCTCAGAAGCTAGAAAATCCAGGCTCGGGCTTTGGAATTTTAGCGATTATCTGCAGAAGCACTTTAGGTCAGAAATTCCACTCGTGTGCCGGACCATTTTGTGTCAAGCCATGCAAAATTGAGGAAAATTCTTAAAACTATCTTAATTTGGACACCAGTACTTTTTTCCCCAGTTCTTAAAAGAGCTGTTTCCAAATCAAGACTGAATTTCAGAATAGTGATAGTTATTTATTATGCCATCGACAGTTCAGAGGATTTGCTTTTAAAGTGTAGCGACTGTTATTTTTGTAGGTCACAATCCTGCACCATCTTCAATTTTAAGACAAAATGATCTGTACACTGAGCCACGGTGCAATTTCTGTCGTTTTGTGAGCACAGCCCCTGGGTAAGAACCCTCACCCTCTCTTCCTGTGCTTCCCCACCACCCCCCCACTCCCCAATACAGTATCACCACACAGCAGCTCAGTAGTAGGAATGGCTATTCATTCGAGGCAAATAAAATTCATTAACAGACAAAACGTCCACACAAGATCCTGTGAAGCATGTCCAAGAAACACCCGTTATTGTTACAGATCAGCAGTCAGGACGTCACAGCGACATCCAGTGTCTCGGGGGTGAGTGGCTGAGTGCACGCCACAGACTACAGTTTCTTCAAACTTTACTAACATTCAATAACAAATCACAATCAAAGATTAGAAGCCTCTTGTGAGCCCCGGTAGCCTCAGCCATCTATGGACCGCTCTACGAGTTTGCAGATCCATTGTCTCGAGGCGGTGTATGGTCTACCTTTTTAATGGTTGTAAAGCAATTAACATGAGTGGATCTTATGTAATCGCACTGGATGTTTGGGATACAAAAAATCAAGCCATGGTCCACAGAGTCAAATGCATCCAGCGAGGCAATATGAAGAGACTATAGATTGGAGGTACTAAACCTGATGATGGCATCTAGGGTAGTGGTGTTTTCTGCCGTTCCGTCACCTGAGCAAAATGCCCTCTGAGCAGGATTAAATTAAATGCTCTGAGAGCATCGTTTAGCTAATATTCTATGGAATAATCGTGTTAATTTAGAAGAAATGGTGATGCGTCAGAATTATCCAGGTTCGGTGGGGGATAAAACCTTGGGGATTAGAGTTGTTTTTCTGTCCCTGAAGGGCAAGGAAAGGTAAGAGAAAGTTAACTATAAGTTGAAAACTTTACTCAGGTAACGGGATTGCATGGCTTTAATAGCCCCAACGGTGATTCCATCAGGACCAGGTGAGGAAGCAGATATACTCTTCAAACAGGCCCTGACCTCTGCCTCCCTGAGGGGGAGCATAAGTTTCCAGACAGTCGGGCACGAGGACGAAGGTCTGTTGTCTGGGGTACTGTTTATTAATATTTTGGCCTAATATTCTTTTGAATTTGGGGATAGAGTTGACGATGATTCCTCGGCCCATGTACAATCCAGGTCTACTTGTGAATACTTTTTTGATTTCTGGGCTCCATCCCCCTCTCCTTCTCCCCCTCCCCCCCACACCCACCACCCATGAGCAGGATCAATGTTTTCTCAATGTGGCCTGGGTATCCGGAGTTTGTAGGAGGCTCCGCCAACCACACAAAACACAAGTGATGTATCGATTACAAGCCTGGGCTGGTGCCGGGGATAACGTATAAAGTGCCCGTGCCCACAAGCCCAGCAGATTGAATGGCCCCCAACTTAAAAAGAAATTCAATAAACATTTCCCATGAGTGATGTGCCAATGCCGAAAGCCAAGGGGCCAGGGTCTGCCCATGGGGTGAGTCCAGTCCAGCCCAGCACTGAGGGGACCTTCCACACTGTCTGTGTGTATGTGTGGGGGGTGGGGTGGGGGGTATCTGCAACACTTCTGAATCTTCTGGAAGGAGTATTCTTGGGTCGAGAGACGTTCGTGTTGACACAGAGCTCAGTAAAGGGTCAACTTAAAATCAAACCTAAAACAGCGACGCATGAGATCAGAGGGCTGTGTGGAACTCACTGCCTTAGTGGACCACAGCTGATAAAAAAAATTTAAAATGGAGATGGGTACAGCGGGTATGGAGGAAAGGCAGGGAAATGGGATTAAAAGATCTGCCATGAGCTAATAAATTAGTGGGAAAGGTTGACGGGATGAATGCTCTCTTTCTGATCCTATGATACGGAAAGAACATGTGGGCATATTGAACATTTCCAGAATTCTGCAACAAATGGTGATTGTCAAGACACGTGGCAGTGTTTACACCCATTAGCAGAGCTGAGAGTGAGGGACGGATGCAAGAGGGTGATGTCGAATTTATAACCAGATCAGAGTGAATATAGAAATAAATTCATCTCCCCTGGTAGCCGAGTGGGTAAAGATGCCACTCCCTGGAGCATACACCCAGTTGGGCACAGGTTTGATTCCCGCCCTACGCTGAGTCACCTGATCTCAACTAGAGCAGTAAGCGGGGACTAACTTTGGGTTTGGGAAGGAGAAAACCAGCCTCGCTTTCCAGACACCCCTGATTGGAAGGGCCAGTGTGGGGAGGACAGGATCAGGCTCGGCTGTGCTGTCCCCCCTGCCAGGCACTGCCTAGTCTCAGGGATGAGGATGGGTAAAGCATGGAAGGCCCCCTGTGCCCAGCAGAGGGAGGAAAGATCTTCAGCAGGGGAGCAAATTAAGAAAAAATCCGCAGAATAGGATTAAAAAACAAACCGAGGCTTATGTGGGAAACAAGCAGCAGAAACAGCATCGACCAGCGCTCATTAATCCTACGTGTGGAGGAGGAAGAATGGCAATGTGAATCAGTCAGTAAAGCACTGACCTCTGCGAGCAGAGGGGAGGGGAAGGAGTGTGCTGGGGCGTTACATATCTTCACCCAGAGCTGGGGTGAACAATTCCTGTGAGTTATGTGCCGTTTGTGGGGCAGCCAGCTGGCAGGCGGAGAGCGTTGGGACATTGGTCAGAGTCCCACCACCTCGACACAGAAGTGCCTGTGCATCTTCACGGGCAGAGGTCAGAAACTTTTAACCCCAGATTGCTCGCCACCTGTGCCCTAGAGCTGGCATCAAGCTTAGCGACGGACACCGGACGCACGGAAAGCTTCAAAATCGACAAGTCTGAGTCAGTGACGTCTGTCTGCGCGTTACACATCAAGCGACTGATGAATATAAACCAGTAGTTTAATCCATAAATTAAAAAAATAAAGTTGTGCAATATTAACCTCCAGGGGTTTAGGTCCAGTTCACACCTCAGTCACCACCTGGGAAGTCCTCAGGACCCATCACAAACCTCCTGTAGGAAGCAGCCAGTTCCTCGCATTCTTCAATAGGGAGCAATTCCTTCACTTCCAATGTCCTGTTCAGCAGTACTAAATTCGCGCCCAGTTGCTCCTGAGGGAGACTGCCTTTTCCTGCGGGCAGTCCCGGTAGTCGGAGAGTGACGGCGGCTAAAGAAGCTTCGGGCGCACGTAGAGTTTCAGGAAATCGCCGCCCTCCCCCTCGGCCACACCCATCCTGCACTCCCGCCAGATACCTGACCTTCAGAGATGTCCAAACCTGCCACGGAACAGTTAACAGCAGAGTGAGACAGAGACCATGAGAAACAATGAACCTCACACCATTCCAACATGATTAAGTGACAAGTCAACTGATATGCCACAGTACCTGTGATCTTCCCCCTCTCATAAGTTCCATCCCATCAATAGAGCAAATGTGCCTCTTACCAATCAATGCCCTTAAAGGGCGCTATATGAATGCTGTTGTTCTACTTGACACCCAACATGGAGTATACAGGAGCATCTTGTTGTGCAAATTGTGAGAAAAAAAAATTGGATTTCATTCTAATTTGGAAAGCTGGATTTCCTCAATTCGTAAAAAGTAGTAGTTTTGAAACTAAGACCGAATTTAAGGGGCTTAATGTGTTTGAACCTCAGAAATTGATCTGCCAATCAACTAACCGCTGGGTTCCTACTTAGTGCTAGGTAAACAGAGGCTGTGGAGTAAAGAAACTTGCCTTAAGGTTTCGCCCTGCCCGGGAATCGAACCCAGGTCCTCTCGCTTGAGAAGTAAGTGCTCTCACCATTCATTACACTACAGGATCCACTAAGTTCAGATTCTATAAGTGTGAATAACAAAGAGCAGAAGTGCTTTGAGACGGCAGGTGCTCACCTCAGTGCAGTGTGCTAAATGGATGCTACGTCTGGGAATCGGCATCCTGTTCCTGGGCCATGCTCAGGCGGGCTTCCTTCAGCGAGAGGTACATCTCCTCCTCGGGATCATAGTAATAAAACTTCCGCAGGTATGATATGAGGGGCCTGCGGCCGAGACAAGATCAACATGACACGGTTAAAGCAAACACAATCACGGGGCATCTGACACACATGGAAACCCATCACCCTCTCCAAGAGTCCCCACACCAGACAGAGTTCCACACATGGAAACCACCTACAGAAGGAAATTGCCGTGTGTCTTGAATGGCGTGGGCCGGAGAGTTGGCAAGAGACAACCCTTGGGGACCCCAGAGCGTGTGTTAGGGTAATTGCTGGAGAACCACCAGCTAAAACCTCAAAGCTTGATATTCTGCCACACTGTCTGACAAGCTTCCAACTGCTGATCCAGCTGGGACCACCTTACCTGTTAGGGCTTTGGCTGATATGGTTAACGGGAGCTGGGTGGGATGTTTTATTTGACATCACATCTCACGTCTCGCCGTGATGTGATTAACCGTTCCCGATACCTGATCGGAAAACCCTATGGAGCATTCCATACTGCTCTGAGAGGGTGTCCGAATCCGGTGACTTACTTGGGGAGCGGGAGCTCCGGGATGTGGTCTATCCGGACGAGCTGCCGAATGCGGAAGCGGCAGAGGTGCTGCAGGGACTTGACGTTGCTGAAGCGGGAGACCGGGTAGAGGAGCTGGACAGGAGTGGGCGGCAGGCCTGGGGAGAGGGAACCACATGTCAGGAAATCAGCACAAAACAAGTCCCTGGGCAACACCTCCTAGGGAGAACGGCATCAGGACACATGGGCGCTGCTGTTGGGGAGGGATGTTCCAGTGGCAGAGCGAGCAATGGGTGGTGGGTGGTGGGAGAGATAAAAGGGCGTTACATCCAACACTTAGTAGCAACATAATTAACTATGATATTAGGAACATAGATATCCATATGCTTTGAGGAACAAAAGACAGTGATGGTCTGCATAAGGGAGAGCGAGGGAATGAGAGAGGTGCGGAGGGAGGGAAAGGAAGGAAAGCGAGAGAGGGAGGGAGGGACACTTCAAACAGACAGGAAAGTACCAGTAACTAAAACATGAAGAGGAAATTTAAGATGATAAGACAGAGAGCTGTGGGACACCGCTGCGTGTATGTGCATTGCTGGGTTTGTTCATGCAGAACGTGAGCAGTGCTGCTCAACGCTGCCTCTGGGCACCGCCTGCACAGGCTCGGGAAGCACCAGGCATCCAGGCTGCTTAAATATTCTCCTGAAGGAAAAAAAAAATCAGAGGGTGTCATGGCAACGGGAAGCATGCTGCTGGGATGGAAAAGTGAGCACATGCTGCAATATTCTAGTTTCCTGGCAACAGCCGGACGGTTGCATATTCCAGAGATGAGGATCAGTCAGTCTGAGATCAGCCTCAGCCCACTGGCCACTTGGCAGGTCAACAGACAGCGGAGGTTAGCAATGGGAGGAGACAGCGGGGGTGAGTGGGTGGGTGCAGGACACACAGAGAGCGCCATCACTGTGTCTCTCCGCTGTTTGGGGCGGCGGAGAGGAAGGCGGAGGGGGGGGGGGGATTTGAGCTGTTTCGAGGGAGGGAGCGGGGAGAACAATTTGTGATATTCACAAGCTGCGTTCGCAGTAACTCCCGGTTACAAATGAACAGTTAATGGCGGATTGTGACAAAATGCGGGGGTGGTGGGGTGGGGTGGGGGGGCACGGAACATTTGCCCTCTTAGTGTTTTAAGCTCATTCCTGTTTCTCCTTTAAGTACCCTCCCTCCGTCCCCCGAGGGATTCCGGAGCTCACCCGCCGTGTACAGATAGTTCGTGACAGATGTAGGTCAGGAGTTTGAAAGTTGGAAAAGCCGACCCCAATCTTAAAAGAGCTGCTGGAAAACGAGATCACTGCTCGGAATTCAAGCTGCTCCCCACCCTCCGGACACACACACACACACACACACGGGTATAGAGCTGAGCGGGGGGGGAAGAGAGAAAGAAAAGAGGAAGGAAATGCTTTACAGGATTCACTGTAAAACGTAGTGACTGTGTATCTTGTGGGCGATCGCGGCGGCCAATTTGTGCACAGCAATGTCGTACAAACCGCCACGAAGTGAGAGACTGATTTTTTGTATCTGGGGAATTGTTTGCGGAGAGACAATCACGAGAAATAACAATAACCTGGAGGGAACTGCCTGTATTTCTTTGAAAGGCAGCATGGATGGAAGCTTTTAACAGGCATCCGAATCACAAGGCAGAAAGCATTAAACACACAAAGTGCAGCTCACTCTAATCTACACCCTGAGCCGCTCACAACAAATGTCCTTCCATTCATCTGGCAGGACGTTTTAACAGGGGTTGGGGGAAAGAGAGATGGAGCGAGGCGCCTGCTGTAATTCAACAATTGAACATCGCTGTAGTGCCTTTCACATTAATGAATGCCTCCAAGAGCTTCACAAAACCAGAGCACCCTGAAGTCAATGTGGTTAACTCAGCAATTTCACAGAATGGGCTCAGTGCCTGAGCGGGTGAATGGAATTGAGAGAAAATCAGTTTCCATCCCAGCAGCGGCCTGAGATCCAGAGAAAGAGAGAGACAGAGACTGGTGGGAGAGAAAAGAGATGAAGCCCGCTGAGAGAGAGAGAGAGAGAGAGAGAGAGAGAGAGAGAGAGAGCGAGACCGAACCCAGAGAGAGCCATTTCTGGTCTGAACGAGTCATTTTTCGGAGACCCGAAAATGAGGGAAATAACAGTGAGTTCCTGTGTAAACAAACACAATCCCTATTTCACTTGTTAAACTGCTTCTTAATTTATATCTTCAGATCCTCTCCCCCAATCGCCTGAGAGAGAGAGAGAGAGAGAGAGAGAGAGAGAGAGAGAGAGCATGTTGTCCATCAATCTTTTGGCTTCTGTCAAGGGAGTCAGAATAGCCCACAACAGCTTGTCTCTCGGCCCGACTCGCAGAATGACAGATCGTGGAGAGCAGGGCCCAAAGAGGTTTTAGTGTGGATCGCCAGGAGTTACATCCAACTGCACCTAGAATGCGGCTTAGGATTACCAGGGTGGGTTCAGGTGAAGAAGGCCCTTCGGCTCATTTGTCTCTCATCCTTCCAGAATCACCAACCAACCATGCGGCTGTCAATTTCTCCTGACCTTCAATCCCCAGGAAAAATCACTCACTCACCCCTTGGAACATTCCATATTGGCTGCCGTGTTTGCCCACAGAACACGTACGGTTGCACCACTTTACAGTACATTCTGTGAAGCGCTTTGAGACGTCTCGAGGACTATTTTTTTTATCATAGTCACAAGTTGCCAAATGTCCACTATGTGGGTTGCACGTGGGTTGGAGCGGGGGGAAGAGTGGGAAAAGAAGAGACAACATCAGTCAGGCCCGTGCCTTCTGGTAAAGCCTGGCTGAACGGCTGCTCTTGCATGAGATCTGGTCAGACACACAGCCCTCAGACAGAGAGACACAAAACATCTGCAAAAACACGAAGGGAAAGGAGGAAGATGGTGGGCAGTGACGTACCAGGAACTCGAGAGCGCAGAAAATACAGGAACTTCCCATTTTTAGAATGAATGATGGCTCGCTCGATGAACTCCACCACAGACTGACAGCGATCCTCAAACTTTGGGTGGCACCACAAACTGAAGGTACCTGTCAATAAGAGACACACAGTCAACACCGGCGGAAACAGCAACGAGTTATCTGATGGAGAAATGCTCTAACAACAACAAATTACATTTGTATAGCGCCTTTCACGTCAGGAGGACATTCCAAGGCCCTGGACAGTCAGGAATCCGCATCCGAGCTGGTGGTTGGGATCAGAAAGGGTGGAGGGCAGGGAGGTTAGGGGTAGGAGTGTGACCGAAGGTGTGCTCGAAGAGAAGGGTCTTGAAGGAGGCGAGGAAGCGGGCAAGGCGGAGGGACTGTGGAATGGGGTCAGAGATGCCGAAGGCCTGCCCACCGACCCGCCCGCCAATCGTGGAGCAGGCAAAGCAGGGGACGCGAAGCAGCCCGGAGCCTGCTGAGTGGGGGGAGCGGGCAGGTTGGTAGGGGCACACACGCCAAGGTCACGGGACAAGAGGGCACGGGTTCAGGGGTGGGTTTAGAACACCAGGAAGTATTTCTTTATATAGTCAACAAGTTAAGAAGGATTACCAGGGAGGGTTCAGGGGAAGAAGGCCTTTCGGTCCATTTGTCTCTCATCCTTCCAGAATCAGCTCCCTACCGCACTGCTGCCAATGCACTCAGTCATTTCTTAAATGAATCCCAGCTTCAGGGCTTTAACCATCCTTTCCGATTATCCTATTCTATTTGTTAATTAACCTCTGGGTAAAGAAATACTTCCTGGTGTCTGAAATATCCTGTTGTAACTCGAAACCTGTGTCCCCTTGTTCTGCTGCCTTGGTGTGTCCGATTTATTTAATTACATTTATTTATCTATTTATTTAATGATTGGTGTATTCGAGACGTGTGAACGATGTGATAAGGAGCTACATTACATGCAAGGATTATTATTATTACTATTGTTATCTGAAAGTATTGTTCTGGGTTGACTTTCTCAATCTCATTTCAAAATGTATAAACCTCCTCTCTGTGAGACATTTATCTTCAAAACATCAGAGCCCTGACCCTAACCCGGGTACCGGTGGCTTATAGCGGTCACTTTAACAATGGGGATCATCTTTGTTGCTCTCCTCTGCGCTGCAACCCTCCAGGACCTGAGGGTGTATGTCACAGTGACCAGAACTGTACGCCCTAAGGCTTGATTTGTTGGGATCTGAATTGACAATATAGCGCAGTGTACTGTTTGACTAGTTAGCAATGACTCACGACCCTTAGGTGTTTATCAGCCTTCCCCTTGGCAAGGTCGATCCTATCCATGGCTATTACCATCGAGTGGTTTCAAAACACTTCACAGGGTATTGCTTTAACTGCAGTGACTGAGTATTTCATGGATTAGTTTGCTCACATGAATGCACCATGCACAGCCAGGACATGAGTTACCAAAGTTACTGACTGATTGTCGGCCAGAGACCTGGGAGAACTCCTTCCTTTTTTCCAACAGTGTCATGGGATCTTTCACGTGAACGCAATTTTAACGATGTCACCAATAATGTCGTGCCTCCCCTGCACTGTGCTGGAGCATCAGCCCAGGCTCTGAGCTCAAAGTGCCCGATTGTGGGGCTCAGACCTTCCGACCCAGAGGTGAGAGCGCGAATGACTGAGCCAAGCTGACACAGGAGTGGAAATCAACTAAGTCAGCACAGAACCTGGGGAGCGCGGGGGGGGTGGGGGCGGGTTTTGGGGGTTAAAATTGGACCTGGGATATTCCTGTTGTAACCCGACTCGGTCACGCAACCTACGGTGAAGCTTGGGAGGCAAAGCACAGGTGCGCAGGTAGGCTGCGTGACAGGAACGGGCACAGAATCAGCAGCTCTCACAACTCACTGCTAACCTGTGCGACCTGCCTTTGCAGAAGCTGGGCTGACGAGTGCTGACCGCAGGCTGCTGACAGGATACCTGACTTAAAAGCATCTCTGGCCTCCACAGGACCACATCACTGGCTCAGCCAATTACCCATCAACAAAGAGAAAAAAACATATAAAATCCCTCGGAGCACAATCATTTATTTAGTGTATTTTTTTAAAAAAAAACCTATATAAATAATTCTGCTCTCAGAGGGATTTAGGGCAGCGTTTCCCCTTTGCTGCTGGGACGTCAGCGCTGACAATGAAAGGCTTTCCTCAGCCTCAGAGTCACACTCAGCGGTCTGGCTCTGCTCTATCCGAGCCACCTCAGCTGCTTTCCAGGCTATTTACCTGGTGATTACCTGGCTATTTACCTGGTGATTACCTGGCTATTTACATGACCTGAAGGAGTCAGACTGGGGAGAGGCAGATGGAGGAAAATGACTCCATGCGGGCGCGAGGGCAAGAAGTCAGGCATATGGCCCGGGTTTGAGTGATGTAGATGTTGGATCCATTCACATTTTCAAGCCTGAGGTGGATAGATATTTATTAGGTCAGTGGATTAAGGGATACTGGGCAAGGGCTGATAATTAGAGTTGAGGTTATCAAATCCTACCGCTCCGGCCTCGCCTCTGCTAAATCGTCGTTCTACTCCAAGACAAACTTGGAGGCCAAGGACAACCCCAGGCTCCTCTTCTCCATCACCAACCGGCTCCTCTGCCCACCCTCTCACGACTCGCCCATCCTCACCTCCAATGCCAACTGTGAGGCGAGGCTGGACTTCCTCAAATCTAGTCAAGGGGATCCGCTCAGCTGCCTCTGCCCTTCTGACCACTACCCCCTCCCCAACTCCCCCTCCCATCCCGGCCCCTGTCCACCCCTCCCTCTACACCTTCAAATCTGTTTCCCCCTCCCAGCTCCACCTCCTTGCCCCTCTACTCACAGACATCATAAACCTCTCCCTGTCCACTGGCACCATTCCCACCCCTTTAAAAACGGCCGTCATCAATCCTATCCTTAAAAATCCCTCCCTGGACCCATTCCTGCTCCCAGACTACCATCCCATCTCCAACCGCCCTTTCCTCTCCAAGTTCCGGGAATAAGTAGTTGCTTCCCAGCTTTGCTCCTTCCACTCCTGCCACTCCCTTCACAGCAGCCAACATTCACCCAGCAATGTCTCGCAAACAGCCATGAATAGAATGATCACTTTTATCTGGGGACTGTTGGCCAGAACACAGGGAGAAACTCGCTTCTTTTAAATAGTGCCATGGGATCTTAAAATCCATCTGAACAGGCACAGACAGGACCTCGGCTCAACAACAACAACAAATTGCATTTGTATAGTGCCTCTCATGCCAAGATGATGTCTCAACGCGCTATTTCTCATCCAAACAACAGCACCTCTGACAATGCAGCGCTATTCCCACAGCACTGCACTGGAGTGTCAGCCTTGACCATGTAGGTTTGAAGTCCTGACAAAGGCTGGACCCTACAACTCTGAGAGCATTAGCACCTGAGCCAGGTTGGGTGAGAGACCAATACTGTCCAGGACACCGAGAGAATTGACCTGCTCTTCGAAACAAATGCCGTGGCTTTTATTTAATAAGCAGCAGAAAAGGCAGATGGAACCTTAGGTTAATGTGCCAATGTCATCACCTCCAACAGTGTAGCATCCCCTCGATAGAACATTGTAAGGTCAGGTCTGTTAGCTCCCATCCTAGTATAGGGCGCAAATCCACAACCTTCTGACAGCCAGGAATGAGGTGCTACCGACTGACTGATTTCTTTTAGATTTAGTTCTGTCGTCACTTTGTGGTTTATCTTTCCTGACAATGATCTCATTCAGGCCTGAGGCCCGCAGAAACCTGAGTAAATTTAATCAGCGCCTGCATTCAGCACGTGGCCACATTTAGGTTTCTTTTTTTAAAAATCACTTTCTTTCGAGATTTAATCATTTAAACTAAAACGCACAAAATATTCATCTCCCTTCCAGCAGGTTCCACCTGATCGCGATTGGCTCAGCCTGGCGCAGTTGATAGCACTCTCGCCTCTGCGTCAGGTGTGTCGTGGGTTCATGCTTCACGTCAGAGACTTTGAGTTCACAGTCGAGGTGTGCCCAGCACTGGACTAGAGCGTCAACCTAGACTGCGAGCTCAAAATCCCCGACCTGAGGCATCAACCCACTGTTGGAGGTGCCATTTTTGTGCACAAGATGTTAAATCAAGGCTTGGGACAGAGCCTCGAGAAGTGAAAGGCACTATACACCTAATTTGTTTGTTGTTGTTGAGGTCCCGCCTGTGCCTATTCAGGTGGACATTAAAGATCTCATGACACGTCTCAAGAAGAGAAGGGAGTTTCTCTCTCCCGGTGTCCTGGCCGACAATCCCCCAGATAAAAATCGGAGAAATAAATACAGTAATGAACCTTCAGCTCCCAGCCCCTTCCTGTCAATTCCTTGTCTCGCTGACCTCCCCCTGCGCCCCCCACCCCACACGCATACACCCACACACTCTCTCTCTCTCTCTCCTGTGAACTGTTCCAAACCCTTACATCATCCAGTGGGAACATTTTATGTGAAAGGAAAAGCACGGGAAGCACTTGCCAAGGCATTGTTTGTGCCGCCCAGACCAACAATTGGCTCGTGGGCCCCACTCCCAAGAACAAAACACACCTAAAAAAAAAGACTGAGAATGAAATAACGGCAGCTGTGCGAGTGAGGTCACTCAGACAGAGCTGTCCTGATGCCTTTCACACCAGACAATCTGCTTATTTCGCTCTAGGTTTTCCACGGCAGTGCATTGTCAGAGGTATCGACAATCAGATGAGGCTTGAAACTAAGGCCTTTTCAGGGGGACAGTGGTACTATTCAAGAAAAGAAGACCGTTTTATCCTGGTCTGGGTCTGGCCAACAGATAAGTCGGTTATTCACCTCCTGGCTATTTGAGGGCTGTTGCTGAGCACAGACTGACCACCGCATTCGTCTACAAAATGCCCAGTCACTACATTTTACAACAATTCTCTGTGAAGCGCTTTTGAGACATTGATGCTAAATATCGCATTGAAACCCAAGGATTGTCTAACTCTATAAAACATCACGTGGGCACCTGAGGCTTGAAATTCCACCTAGTCTTAGCCCTGAGGACCAATTTCTCTTAAAATTTAATGAAACCATAGAATTGTGGAAACCTCTTGTCTTTGAGGTTATGTGCGCAGTCAGCTCTACTTAAGAAACTACAGAGAAAAACTTAAAGAGAACATACAGGCTTATAATAAGAGGTACAAGTGAGCTTCAAACGGTCCTCTGGTCAGTGAGTCCACACCTGGAGAGCATCAACTTAAAACAGTTAGCAGAAGAGCAAATGGGGAGATAAGGAGAAATGTTTTTACGTACAGAGTGGGTAAGGAAGTGGAATGCCCCGCCAGGGGGTGTTGTTTGAGACCAAATCCATATTAGGTAAATACCTAAAAAGGAATAAACTGCGGGGGTTTGGGCAAAGGGCAGGTAAATGGAAAATATTGTGAAGTGAATTGCCTGTGTATTTTGTGGGCGAACACGGCAGCCGATTTGTGCACAGCAATGACCCACAAACAACCACGAGGTGAATGACTCATTTTATCTGTGGCATTCTCGGCCAGGATGTTCCTTCTAAAGGGGAAGTTCCTTTTCTTTACGAATTGCACTGCAAGATCTTTAAAGTTTAATGTCCACGTTTAAGACCTCGGTTACTGGCTGCAAATACATCTGATCAAATACATCAAATTCTTGCATCAGTCCTTGGGGTTGACAAATCAGGTTAGAAAACAGAACTGAACAACAGCGGTGTTGTGAAGGAGGTGAGGGAGGGGATCTGGTCAGAGTGGAGGGAACATTGCCAAGGTTAGACTCCTCCAGCCAGGTGTCAGCACCCATGGAAATCTATCTTCGTGCTCAAGAGAATCCAAACTAGGCTGAACTTTACAAAATATGCACACCACCCCTCTGGACGTTCCTCTCTGCCTGGAGGGACACACCCAACTTGCATAACTCCCTCTTCGGAGCCAAACTCAAGAGGCTATGACACAAAGGCGACTGAGAGAAGGTTTGAAAACAAGTAACCGCGTTAACCACGCAGGCTCGGAAACTTCCAACCCACAGCCTGTAGGCCAGTTACAACAGAGAACAACTATGCTTCAAAGGCCTCCTCCCACACAAACACACGTCAACATCAACATCGGGCAGACTGACTGCTTGCTTCAAACTGTGTTCAGGAAGAAACTAATTCAAGTAACTAAAAAGGATTTCCCTTAAACTCTCTCTCTCTCTCTCTCTCTCTCTCTCTCTCTCGAGCTCAACAATTTGTCTGTCATTCGCAGTCTCGTCTCTGGGTCAGAAGTTTGTGTATTCAAGGCCCCACATCAGGGACTTGGAGCTCACAGTCGAGACGACTGGAGGACACGACTGGAGGAAAGCTGCACTGACGGTGGTGCTGGCCTTCGGCTGAGAAGTTAGAGTGGACTGTTTGGGTGGACTTTAAGATCCTGAGGCGCGATGGGAGATTGGAGCTTCTCCCAGTGTCGTGGGGCCAACAGATTAATTTGGTCATCACCTCCACATTGTTTGTGGGCCCGTGCTGTGCACAGTATAATAGCTGCCGCTTTAGCCAACAAAAATGTGACAGAAAAGAGCTACAAGGGGGCTTGCCAGACGTTTTCTCGTACAAGGTGATAGAAAGATTCAGATATTGCTGCGGCAGAAATCTGTACGTACAATCCCAACCGGCATTAAAACAGGGTGCGATTGCTCGCCACAAACAGCCAGAAAGGCGGCCTGGCCTCACCTCGGTAATGCTCCATCCTGGTGTGGTGTGTGATCCCCTGCGAGCGAAAGCTGAGGCTCAGGATATAGCGAGGGTCTGAGCTGTCCCGCACCAGAAATGAACCGTCCGGCTTCCCTTTCAGCTTCATTTCCGCGTCGTCCCAGTTCATGGGCCCCCAATACCAGCCGCACTGCCGGGGGGAGAGACGAGAGAGAGAGAGAGAGAGAGAGAACAGGATCGTCAAGAACATCACAGAGTTACACAGGAGTATACACAGTGCCCCGATATGATTGTTGCCGGGACAATAATCAACCTCACACTTGATACAGCGCCTTATCACGTCATCGAGACGTCTCAAAGCGCTTCACAGGATATACTGTAAAGTAATTGTCACTGAGTAATTGGTAGCTGAAAACGCCGTATAAAGGAAGATTAGTAAAATAATCCCTTGCTTTTATGGGTTCAAACCTCCTGTGAGGACGGTGAGCTTACAGTCTAGGCTGATGCTCCAATAAAGAGCTGGAGCACTGCATTGTCACTGTTTAATATAGCGCCTACATCGGATGATGGACCGAAACACAGAAAGAGAAGTAGGCCATTCAGCCCCTCGAGCCTGTTCCGCCATTCTATAATATCTTGGCTGATATGTAACTTAACTCCATGACTCTATGATTCTTGCTTCTCAAAGCGCATCATATAGTTCCTGTAAAGTGTGGTGATTGTGTATCTGGGGCCAACGGGGGCCGGTTGTGGTGTGTGTTCGAGGAGACGGAGCGCGTGTGCAAGGCTCCCACCTTCTCGAGCTCTCGCAGGCTGGCTGCGAAGGTGTTGGGGTCTCGCCTGCTCAGGGGGCAGTGCTGGGGTTGCACAGCCATCTCTCTGCTCTGGGGCACAGCGTTCTGCAGCAACGTGTCTGCAGAGAGAAGGAGAAGGAAGCCACATCAACGTCACCATCAACGCACGAGGGTTAAACCTCAGTACATACAGGACCTGCCCTGTTGTCACGTGTAGATTCCATCGCACGAGCGTCAGACAATATTGAACTTGTAGCCTCCCCGGGATATGGGGGGGTATTGATGATCAGCAAAGCCAGAAACACCCAGAAAAACTCCGTTCCCTTTTTGAATAGGGGCTGCAGGATCTTTTAACGTCCACCTGAACAGGGCACAGACAGCACCTCGGTTTAATGTCTCACCCGAAGGTTAACGCCTCAGACAATGCATTGCTGAGGGTTGAAAGCGCTGATGTGGGGCTTGACCCACAAACTTGATTCAGAGGGCGAGAGCGCTACTGACTGAGCCAGGCTGACACCCGAACAGTTTTATTTCTCCAATAATAATAATCCTTGCATTTGATATAGCGCCTGATCACGTCATTGAGGCGTCTCAAAGCTCTTCACAGAATATACTGTAAAGTGAATTGACTGTGGATTTTCCAGGGGAAACACAGCAGCCAGTTCGCACAGCAGGTCCCATAAACAGCCATGGAGTGAGTGACCAATTTTATTTATTGGATGGCGGGGGGCTGGGGGGGGTGGGGGGGCGGAGGGAGGGGGTGAAATATTGGCCAGGACACCGAGGGAAAGAAACTCCCCTCTCTTTTCGAACAGTGCCGTGGGAAATTTAACATCCACCTGAATAGGCAGACGGGACCTTGGTGCGGGCACTGGGCTTACCGTTTAAACTGAGGCTGTGCTGGATGGAGGTGTGGGGCGGGGGAGGAGGAGGCAGGGGCAGCGACTGTAAGCTGGCGCCCACTGCATTCACTGGCTGCAGCCCGCCAATGTCATCTGTAACAAGAACGGAGCACAGGATCAGTGGCAATAGACGGGCAATAAACCAGCACAGTGACCGCCCTGGACCAGCCGGGCTTGTTGGCAACGTGCCATCAATGGGGCTTGATTACAGCCCTGGTTTATGTCCACTCCTCCCCCTTCCCCCGAGGGATAGGATCTCAGCTGTCTTTGTCTTTGTCTCTCAGCCACTGTGTGTGGAATAAGCTGATGGCGAGACCCAGCGAGCCTGGCCTGGGATTTGAGCTGCTCGTGGCTTACTGTTACACTCGCCTCCTCGTGTTGCTCTCGACTAGTGACTATCTTCCTGGGGGGTGGGGGGGGAAGGTGTGTGGTCTCTTGGCTGGTCCTAGGTGGACAGGCAGTGTGAAAGCTGGCCAGACAGCGATATCAATTGCAAGCTACACGGTTTTTAGCTGATTAGACTCCAGCGCACACTATGAGATCCCCGACGCTTTGGCTCTTGCCAACCTGAGTCTAATGCTCTCCGGGATTTGGTAAGCAGGATGTGTCCCTCCAGGGAGAGAGAGCGCATTCCATTCCAACAATCTATCTCTGGGATTTCCATGTGCAAGCGGGATCCAGGGAATTCTCAGTTTGGTTTGGTGACTCTCAAGCATGTTGATGGGTCAAGACACCAGGCTGACCAAAACAAAATTGTACTGCTCTGGAGACCAGGTAAATCAGCAGCAGGTCATGGCTCTCTACTGTGGGTAGAGATAGGAGCAAGTCAAGGAGGACGTGAGGAGATTAAAAGAAGAGAAAATCAAAACAAAATAAAAAGAGGTTTTTTTAAATACAAAAAAGAGAAATAGACAAAGGTACAGGAAAGGAGGCTGAGATGTGCATGGATGTTAAACAGCAAAAGAAACCCCCCCCCACCCACTCGCCACCTCCGCGCACACGTCGGGAGAGATGGAGTCAGAGAGAGCGAAGGAAATAGAGGAGGAGAAAATGAGTGGGAGGAGAGAAAGAGAGAGAGAGGGGGGGGGGAGAAGAAAAACACAAACACATCCTAGGAGAGAGAAACACAAAGTAAGAGACAAAGTCACATGGTGACATGCGCGCACACACACACACACACAGAGCGAGAGAGACACACACACACACAATAACACACACAGAGCGAGAGAGACACACACACACACAATAACACACACAGAGCGAGAGAGATAAAGACAGACAGAAAGACAGATAGAGAAAGATATACACACACACACACATGCAGAAAGAGCGAGACACACACACACACACAAACACAGAGAGACGAGACAGACACACACACACACACAACACAAACATAGAGAGACAAAGAGAGAGACAGACACACACACACAGACACACACAGAAGGAGAGACACACAGAAACACACACACACAGGTCTCTCTCTGTGTGAGACGCTCAGTACGCTGTACCTAGCAGACTCAGGCTCCTGCGGGGAGGGGGAGGGGGAGTGGGCGGATGAGATGAGGGGGGTCCTCGCCGGGAAATGTCCAGATCCACGAGGGACACGGTCTCTCCTGTTGGTGAGAGCGAGAGAGACACAGGTCAGTTACCGAATGGATTCCAACCGGCCCCACCCAGCCCCTGGCATCGTCTGGGTCAGTGGAGTGCCCGGACCCTCACTGTCAGCTCCGCTCAGGCCAGTCCCAGACTTCGCTCGTCTCCTCCAGCGCCTCGGGACGTCCTCCCAACGTGAAAGGCGCTGTACAAATATAATCTGTTTGTCAACACCCTCGCACTCCCTCACCACCACCACCACCAACAACAAAATGACATTTGTACAGCGCCTTTCACGTCGGGAGGACCGCCCAAGGCCCTGGACAATCAGTGTTTCGGACCCGAGCTGGGGGTCGGGATCGGGGAGGGCGGAGGACAGGGGGAAGGCACGGTCGAAGAGGAGAGTCTCGAGACGGGTCTTGAAGGAGGCAAAGGAGGGAGCGAGACGGCAGAGAGACTCTTCCGTCTCGTACGACTGCGTTTCCACCCTCCCCCCGTCCCCACACACATCACTGGGCGGCATTCAATCAGGTCCCCCCAATGTCAGACGAGAATACATTTAGCGTAGTTTACCTGTGAAGGGAGGAGCCAATGACACCGGTGTGAAGGCACTTTGTGTCCTGGTCAGTCTGGGCTTCCTGCAAAACACGCAGCAATCGTCAGGACAGAGGTCAGAAACTCGGACAGCAAAACAATCACAGTGTCACTCACACGCAGTCTCTCTCACACACACTCAGTGTCTCAAACACATACACTCTCACACACAGACTCTTTGTCGCAGACTCTCTCTCACACACACACACACACACATACATACTCTCTCACACACACTTTTGATACATCAGCGATAAGGAAGGATATCAAATTCTATTATTAGAATTATAAACCCCCGACTGTATTAAGAACGTACGTGAACAGGAACAGGAGCCCATTCAGGACACCTCGCCTGTCCCACCAGGTTATTCGAACTTTCCTGATCTTTTCATCCCAATGCTCTGCCCTCGTGCCTCTTCACTGATTTACAGAGAGGGGGGGGGGGGGGGAGGGAATCATATTAAACAAACAAATCCCCCAAATAAAAAATGGTCACTCGTGGCTGTTTTGTGGAATGTTACCGTGTGCGTTTTGGCTGCTACATCTGCCCACAAAACAGTCTGACCTCTGAGTCAGAAGGCTGTGGGTTCAAATCCCACGTCAGGACTTCCAACTCACAAGGGTCTAAGCTAACACTCCAATAATGCACTGCTGAGGGTGTTGTGCATTGCTGGAGGTCCCGTCCTTCAGATGAGACGTTAAAACGAAGGTCCCATCTGCCTGTTCAGTTGAACATTAAAGATCCCACGGCACTGTTGGAAAAGAGAAGGACATTTCTCTCTTCCGGTGTCCCGGCCAACAATCCCTCGAATAAAGAATTGGTCACTCCCCCCACGCCTTTCCACATGGCAGGTCCTGTACCTTAGTGGTTAGAGCACTCGCCTCACAAGCGAGCGGACCCGGGATTGATTCCCTGGGCGGAGCGAAATGTCGGGCAAGTTTCCTTACTCCACACGCCTTTGTTTACCTAACAGCGAGTCGGAACCCGATTATTAGTCGATTGGCGGATCGCTTCTCCGGGGGCAATAATCCCTTCGAAATAAATTAATCATTTGGTTGTTCGATCCACGGCTGTTTGCGGGACGCTGCTGTCCGCAAGTGGCCGCTGCGTTTCGCTCACAACGTACACAGTCAATTCGTGTTGCAGTATATTCTGTGAAGCGCTTTGCGACCCCTCGAAGATGTGATAAGGTGCTGTATCAAACGCAGGGATTATTATATTATTCACACCAAATGGAGAAATTATTACTATTATGACACTCCAAAAGTGACAGCGCGGGAAGGGGGAGAAGGGGCTTTTCAAAGGAACCATTGAACTGGCTTTTGATGGGTTAACTGAGGCCTGAGCTGCAGTGGCTGGGGGAAGGGGAGGGGGACGGGGAGGACGTTTAATATTTTAGCGCACAGAGTGCTCGGGCTGCCGGGAGCTGTGCGGTGGCTTCTCTCAGTCATTCTGGGTCAGTGGTCTCCCACACAGAGGCACCGGGCACAACACATATACGCACACATAAACACACACACACACACACACATCTCTCTCACACAACACGCGCACACGCACACACAAGACACGACTCGCACAGTGCCTTTCACCAGGGGGAAACGGGGGTGGGGGGTGGGGATGGGGGGGGGGGGGTATCAAAGTGCTCAGTACACGCGCACATCGGGAATTATAAGCCGCCGCCAGGCAACGCAGGATGTGACCCAAGAGCAAACACCAGAGGAACAAAGAGAGAGAGAGAGAGAGAGACCTACCCTCAGGAGCAGAGCTGTCAGCCAGCGAACATGTCAGGCTGCAGCATCCTTTCCCTCCTCCCTCCCTCCCTCCCTCCCTCGCTCCCTCGCTCCCTCCCCGCCCCCACTATACACCGTCTGGTCTTTGTACTCTTGTGGTCACCTTCCCCAGACTGTAACCAAAGTCACTCCGTAAAGGCCCAGCTAATGCTTCTTCCCCCCCCCCCACCCCACCAACCTCACCCCCTTCCCCCTTCCATTGCAGACCCTCCTCGGTGTGAGGTGGGGGAAACGACTCATTATAGAAATCCCCCGCGGCCGTCAGGCGCTCTACCCTCGGAGTCAGGCCTTCAGGAACCGGGGAATAAAAGCCGACGTGGATTTCGTATCGAATATCGAGCCATAGAAATTTACAGCACTGAAGGCGGCCATTCAGCCCATCCATTAGCAATCCTTTTCCCTGCCCTTTCCCCAGATCAACAACAACTTGCATTTATATAGCGCCCCTCACACTATCTCTCTCTCTCTCTCTCCCTCTCTCTCCCTCTCTCCATATCCCTAGAGTTGCCTTCCTTTTAGGTATTTATCTCGTTCCCTTTTGCAAGCGAATATGAATTCTGCCTCAACCAGCGTTGCCAGGGCATTCCAGACCCTAACCACTCCCATGAAAAGCAACGCTCCTAACCTCCCCATTTCCCCGTTCGCTAACCACAACAGCAACTTGCATTTATATATCGCCCTTCACGTGGGGTTGCGTCCCGGAGTGCTTGACTATCCTAAATTGCAATTTAACTATCAGAAATTGACGGCCTCCAGTTACCGACCAACATAAGTCCTGATTCCAGCTGTTCTTACAACACAAGGAGGAGCAAAATCGTTTACAACTTGTTTTTGTGGTCAGATGCCCTGGACCCCATTATATATATGTATTATATACGCACGTACATACACACAGTGACCAAAAAGTTGTGATAACTGCCCTATTATCTGAAACAAAATCATTTCTTTAAGACGTTGCAAAAGTACCATGACTTTTTAAGGTCTCCCTGTGTATGTATATATGCGTGTGTGTGTGTGTGCGTGTGTGTGTGCGTGTGTGGTGGTGGTAAGGGGGGGGAGGGGGAAGAGAGTTAGCGTGTTCTCTCTCTGTGAGCAGTAACTACAGCGAGGGTTAGACGGAAGCTCAATTCGGTTTGTATAAACCACAAGCCAAAAGCACCAGAGAGGTCCTGTGTTGTGTTTCGCACAAACTGAGGAACTGGTTTCCTGAGGCTCCGAGTGTAACAAGCGAGCAGTCAGTAGGGGGGTTGGAGGCCGAGGGAGCTCGCTGGCTACTCCCCTCGCTATTATTTATGGGATGTCGCCGGAGCACAGCAGCTTCCGCGTTCACCTTCCGTAACAACTTTCACTTCACTTCCAATTGATCTCATTCTATACAAACGCTTCCGAGATATTTCTCTTTTCCTGAAGATGCTGCATAAATGCACCCAACCTTTTGGGGCTGTTTAGGTTCAGGGTGTCAGTGCGGGTGAGGAGCGATACGCGCCCATCCACTCACGCACTTACTCGTACGCCTATGTATGCGCGAACCACTCGCGCACCACTCGCGCACAGGGGACATGAGGAGGCCACGTGGCTCGTGTCTTTCAACAGACAATCCACAATCTGCTGGCCCTTGAGCTCCCTGATCCCTGGTGTTAGAGGGATGAGCCATGAGGAACGATGGGATGAGCTGGGGCTCTCCAGCCTAAAGGGATCTTGCACTGAGATGTGTGATACTGAATGGGATTAAGCAAGTAAGCCCTCGGAGCACGGTCTCCCTGGTTCAAATCTCGGTTCGAGCTGAGTTGATGGTCTCAGCCGGGGCTGCGTGGAGAGATTAAATTGATCTAACCCCCACCCACCTGGACCTTACCAGGGTTAGGGAGGGCAAAGCCCACTCAGGTTCCTGGTCATGTTATGTATCGTCCGAGTATATGTCCACAGGACATAATAATAATCTTTGCATTTGATATAGCACCTTATCACGTCTTCGAGATGTCTCAAAGCGCTTCAAAGAATATACTATAAAGTGGATTGTCTCTATAGTTTGAATACATTATAGGGTCGCACAAGGCATACCCAACACTGACTTTCATTACAAGACTGATACAGAGAGTGCCTGGGAAGTGACGAGGAACGAAGAATATAGAAGTATATATGAAGAATGAAGTAGAGAATGTAAAATATTAAATAATACAAAGTACAGCAAACCGTAGGGTAGAGGAGTAGGATTTAAGGAGGGGGGCGCGGTGGGAGGGACAGAGGCAAGTCGTTCCAGAGGTGAGGGTCATAGCGGCTAAAGGCTTGGTCACTGATGGTGGTGCGGACAACAGGGTGGGGGATGCACAGCAGGTCTGCGTTAGTTGAACAAAAGGGGGTTGGGGGGGGGGGGCACAGGCAGGCGGGTGTGGGGGGGTGGGCAGAGGAGTGAGTATGAGCAGATCAGAGAGAGAGAGAGAGAGAGATAGGAAATTGCTAGGGCGTGAAGAGGTTTGCATTTGAGTGCAAGGATCTTGAAATAAATCCTTTTGGAGACGGGGAGCCAGTGGAGCCTGGCGAGGAATGAGGCGATGAGTTACGCACTATATAATTCTTTAAGCGCGGCGACTGTGTATTCTGTGGGCGAAATGTGGCGGCCGATTTACGCTCAGCAACTTCCCGCAGACAGCCAAGCTGGGAAGCAGCATCGCCGAAAGGGCCTTCGGAGAAAGCAGCTGCTGTGTTAGCATTGACCTTTGGGGCTGACCTCGATCCCACCAAACCCAGAAAGGAGGAGGCTTTAAGTCTGACAAATGTAATTCCTTTGCAAAAGGAATGAAAGGGCAGGTTTCAGAGCATTGCTCCCCACAGAGGGACGGAGGGAGGGAGAGGGAGGGAGGGAGGGAGGGAGGGAGGGGGAGATGTGGAATTCTCGGCCACAAACCCGCAATCGCAGCAAAAGCCTGTAAATTGGTTTTTTTTTAAAAAAAAGGGATTTACAGAGATAAGATCCTGGCCGAGGAGGAATGTTATAACGACAATCCTTGCATTTGATAGAGCGCCTAATCACACCTTTGTGATGTCTCAAAGTGCTTCTCAGAACGTACTGGAAAGCGAATTGACTTGTGTATCTTGCGGACGAAACCGCGCTAGACAATTGCGCACAGCGGTGTTCCACAAACCGTAGTGGATTGAGCGACCAAATTGTTATTATTATTTCTTTTTGAATGGATTATTATTACCCCCCCCCCCCGGAAGAGCCATCCGCCAATCGACTTAACAACCGGGT